AAGAAAGAAAAAGAGAAAGACGCCTGCAGACGGCAGGCAGCTCGCATTGATAGGGGTTCCTTGAAGGAGTGTGTAGCTTCCGCCTAAACACCGGTATCTTGCTTATAGTTTCTAAAGGAAGGGTAAGGAAACTCTACTACCCTATCGACCCGGTATCGATTATAAGATTAAACTAAAGGATAGCTAACGACTACTATTTAGACGAGCCTACGGCATATCCGAGATAGAGAATAATGCAGTTAAGAAGTGGCTTAATAAGCAAAGCTTATAAGGTCGTATTCGGAAAAGCTACGCCGAATGTGCAGCTCCTACTATCGTCGTTAAGAAACTAGGTAGAGGGCTCCGCGTTTGTGTTAACTATCGAGGACTTAACGCGTTGACCGAGAAAAGCCGATATCCTATTCTACTAATTAAGGAAACCTTAAACCGCCTATATAATAAGAAGTTCTTTACTAAGCTTAACGTAGTTACAGCGTTTAACAAGATTCGTATAAAGGAAGGTTAAGAATAGATGACATCCTTTATTACTCGTTATAGTTAGTACGAGAGCTTAGTATTACCATTCGGCCTATATAATAGGCCCGCTACCTTCTAGTCCTTTATAAACGAGATCCTCTAGCGATAGCTCGACGACTTTGTCTCCGCCTACCTAGATAACATTCTTATCTTTAGCGACACTCTAGAAGAGCATATCGAGCACGTTAATACGGTACTCTAGGCCCTAATCGATGCTAGCCTTACTATCGACATCGATAAGTGCGAATTCTATATACAAGAGACTAAGTACCTTAGTCTAATTATCTCCTACGAAGGTATTAAGATAGACCCTACTAAAGTTTAATATATTCTAGAATAGGAAGCCCCGGAGAATGTAAAGGAAGTCCTCTCCTTCCTAGGCTTTGCAAACTTCTACCGACGATTCATTTCTAGGTACTTATAGGTCGTTAAACTATTAACAGACTTAACGCAAACTCTAAAGTGTCTAGTATTTAAATGGACTCCGGAATGTTAAACAGCCTTTAAGCTACTTAAGCGAAAATTCACGACTGCGCTAACCTTAGCTTACTTCGTACCGGGTAGGCGTACCGTAGTAGAGACAGACTCTTTAGACTACGTCAATTCCGGCGTTCTTTCTTAATACGATAATAAGGACATCCTAAGACCCGTAGCCTTCTTTAGCAAGAAGCTTACGCTATAAGAATACAATTACGATATTTACGATAAAGAGCTAATAGCTATTATTAAATCTTTCGAGGAATAGCGATCCGAGCTTGCCTCTAAAGGAGGGGAGGGTAGGCCGCCTGTAAGAGTGCTCTTAGATTATAAGAACCTAGAAACTTTTATAACTACTAAGTAGCTTAATAGACGACAAGCTCGATAGGTAGAATTCCTGTCTTAGTTTGACTTTCAGATTAAGTACAGACCTAGCAAGCAGGGAACTAAACCTAACAGCTTAATACGAAGGAAACAAGACGTGCCTGCTAACGCTAACGACCCTCGCGTGATTTACTAGTAACAAACCCTAATTAAGCCTTACTAAGTCATCTATATTAGTTAAACCGAGACCTAGCAGATTCTAGTAAGGTCTACCGAAATCGACAAACTAATCGACAATGCCTATTAGCAAGACTTATCGCTACGCTAAGCCGTAAAAGATATCTAGTTAGGAAATGTGCCTGCCCTACTACGACAAGCCAAGGTCAACCTAGCTTACTATTAAGTCTAAGACGACCGTCTACTCGTTAAGAACAAGTACGGAGGTTACAGCTTATAGATTCCCGAAGATAGACTCCTTAAGACTCGTATTATTCGAGAAAGACACGACCCTCCGCTAGTAGGACACCCCGGAGTGTCTAAGACATTCGATCTAGTAGCTAGAGAGTTCTTTTAGCCGCATATCGGCAAATGGATCCGGAGGTACATCGCTAACTGCCGCCCTTATCGAACTACTAAGGCTTCTTACTAGTAGTACTAAGGCTTGCTCTAGTTAATGCCGATTCCTTTCGACGTATAGAGAGAGATCGCTATCGACTTCGTAGTAGACTTGCCGCTAAGTCGCACCGCCGAAGGCGTAGAATATCGTAATATTATAACTGTTATAGACCGTTTAACTAAGGAATGTTACTTAATCCCTATCGTATCTATAAAGGCGGACAACGTCGCTAGACTCTACGTAAAAGAAGTCTTCTCCCGCTACGGCCTTAGTAACAGTATTACTTCGGACCGAGGATCGCAATTCATCTTATTGCTTTAGAAACTAATTTGCGAATTGTTAGGCATTAAGCAGTTAATGTCGTCGTCCTATTATCCTAAAACTAATAGACAGTCGGAGAGGACGAACTAAACTATAGAACAGTATCTACGCGCCTTTATCGACTAAGCCTAAGATAACTAGGTAGAATAGCTACCTATAGCTAAATTTGCTATAAACAACTATGTTTACGAATCTACAGGCGTAAGTCCGTTCTTCGCTAACACCGGCCGGAACCTACGCTATCTTAACTCTCCGAAGGCCTTACGAGAAGCTACTCTTCGAGATATAAAGACTACGCCGTAGAAGCTATCGGTAGAAGCCGCCGAGAACTTCGTACGAGCTATATACAACCTTTATATACATTTACGTTACTAGTTGGCCCTTGCTTAGTATATATAAGCTAAAGCTTTAAATTCTAGCCGCAACCTCGCTCCGCTTTATAATATCGGAGATAAGGTATACCTTAGCACGAAGAACTTCCGTATAACGCGGCCCTCTAAGAAGCTTAATTACAAGTTTGCTAGTCCCTACGCTATTACTAAGATTATACTAGAGAAGTTATCCTTCCGACTCGACCTTCCCGCCTCGCTTTCGGCACTCGACAACTGCTTCTATACATCTCTACTAATACCCGCGTAGGACGAGAAGCTTCTACCGCTACCTAGTTAATATAAGCCTCCGCTACCGCCGATTACCGCTATTAACGAGGCAGGCGAAGAACGCGAAGAATGTATCGTCGATAAGATACTCGACTCCTACTAACCTAAACCGAAGGGCCGCAAGCCTAAAGGACGCAAGCGGACAATACTAGAAGTGCTGTATTAGGTTAAATAGAAGGGGTTTAGAGTTACCGAGGACGATGTAACTTAGGAGCCCGCTAGCAATGTCTTGCCTAATGTAGCCGCCGCTATTGCAGACTTTTACTATAAGTATCCTAAGAAGTCTATTTAAGCTAGCTTCGAACTACCGCCTAGTTAGATACCGTTCGAGCAAGTAGATTAAGACACTACTAATGCTTCTAGAATTACCTCTACGACGACGGTACTACTAGCGGACAGCGCAACCGAGCGTAGCTTGCTACTTATAGAGATAACCTTAAGCGAAGCCTCTAATAAGTTACGCCTAGCCTCTAAAACCTCTCGCGTATCTAATAAGTTACCTATTACTATATTATCCTATATATATACAGTCGCTTACTAGCCGGTTGAATTGCATATACAGCGCGAGCCTACTTTAGATAGGAAGGTTAAGGGTAAGCCGTATAAGTAAGAGGACCTTAGCGACTACGAGGACGATTAGACCCGGTCTACTAGCGTACGAGATATTAATAGTACTAGCTATATTACATCGAGCGAGCGCACTACGGTAAAGGATTTAGACACGAAGTTAGACACGGACGTTATAGCAGATAGAAATAGGTACTTGCAAGGGACTGCGCGTTTAGAAGGGGGGGGTACTATTACGGCTAGCTACCTTTATATACTATAGCTGCCTTAGACAAAGGTTTATTTACTTGCTCTGTTTGCTAAGGCAAACAGTCGCCGTAGTAACGAGGATATAGGCTTCTAGGGCCTTCAACCTCTTCGTAGATTCGTACGCAATTGAGTTGTTTCCTCGCTTAATTACGTGCCTTAACAGATAGAGGTAATCTATATAAAGAAGAATCGTTGTCCTTTTTCTTATAGTAGGAGTAAGGACGAGGTTATAAAATATACAGTCTTTAGAATAAAAGCATACTAGGACTTAGCTCTTCTAGTATATAGCGTATAAGGAGTTTAATCTAAGGTTTTCGATACTCTATAAAGGTTAAAAATGTTATCTTAATGTCACTAGAAATGGCATAGGATTGTACTATATAGTTAACTTCTGTCTTCTTCTATAATTAGCCTATTATCTACCGTTGTAATATAGGAGTTGCTTAGAGCTATTATTCGAAATGCCGCTTCGATCGTACCTCGAGATAGCAATGCTATAAGAGTGTCGATGGATTTAGCGACTCAATTGACGCTTGCGTCGTGATTGTCTATCTCGTTGCCAGGACCCGTTCGGAATATACAAGTGTTGCGTACGGGTAACGACATCGGGAGCCATGCGATAAAGTGAAGACCTGCAAGCCAGAGCGTTGGCACAAAGATACATTGGTATTGACGGAGTAGCTTAGGGGCTGTTGGCGAATGCTATAAAGAGACGGGAGGAAGGAGAGCGGTGCATGTAGGGGTGTTTCTCCTTCCTGGCCAAACTATAGTATGGTATCTTGGATGAAGCCGAAGGAGAAACAATCTGATCACTCGAGGAAGGAGCCAGCGGGAATGGGACGCTGTTGTTGCCAAGACTTCGTTCGCCGGGCCGACTTCAGGCCATCACGCGCGTGTACAGCTGCACCTCGCAT